ATATATAATATTTCAAATTCCACAATAGAAGCAGTCCTTTATATTGGGTTTCAGCACTCTGCTCTCCTCCTTTTTCGGTGAATCTGCTCTGTGGTTACATTAGAGATGAATAGGCTGGTTGGCTGCCAAGTCACTGCTGGGAGGAGGAGAACGCATAGCAGGGTTGCTGAAATAAAACTAAAGTACTTTCTACTGTCGACTTCAAACATGAAGACCAAGGTGACCATGTCTCTGGAAAGGATATGTCCAGACATCCATTTGTTCACCTTTTGTGCCCCTCCTGCGCATTCCCTTCCTCTTCAACAGCGGGCACAAAAATGAGCTCTTCCAGCAACCCAGGGAAGAGGTGATGGTACGCCTCCAGTTATGTGACAATGCTCGGGCCTATTAGGTGGCTGCTATGCCTGGGACAAAGAAGCATATTGAGTTCTCCCCCATACCAGGAAGTGCTGGGTATTATCAGTGACTGCAGAGGAGCAAGGAGCTGCAATGGAAAGCAGGTGAGTATATGGTAGACATGTGCGATTCGTTTCGTTACGAATCGATATTCGTACGAATTTTCCTGAAATTTCCTGAAATTCGTAGATTCGAATTATATCCGAAATACGAAATTCCGTTAACGGATTTCGGATCCGAATTGAGTTTCGGATACGAATTACGAAATACGAAATAATGGATATTACGAAATGGAACGACACGAAACGGAACACATTTTTTGACGGCGCACAAATCTAGTGTATGGGGCTTGGGGGGATACACTTTCCAAAGATACTACCAATTTATCCAGCATGGGCAAGGTGAAATTATCCTTTTAAAGATGAATTGCTTCACAGTTCCAGACACCAATAAGGTGCCACGCCAAATAAGGTAAGTGCTTAGAGCAGCAAGTGGGGGGAGGGGGGATTATACATTTTAATGTCACTTTAATGATGAAGCCTTTGAAGGGAAAAAATCAGTTTCAAGTTGAGTTTCAAATTGTTTTGAAACATACCTTCAGCAGGATTGTCTGTTGAGAACTATACAGGAAATAAACCCAATCGATTCATATGATGGAGGTCTTGTGGACCAGTAGTGACAACTGGTGTGATGTTAACAGGTCTATCACTGACAACATATAATGCCTTAAAATAAAAAAGTAAAGTTGCCTGTAGCTATCTGCCAGTCTGTATCTGGAGACTACTGTTTTAAACTATTTGGAAGGGAAGGTTGTATCTTCTGTTTGGAACTGAAGACAAAATTCACTTATTAAGGAGGTTGGATCAATTCAGGGAGTCCAAATAAATTTCAATTTAAACTTTAAAATTAAAGATACATTGATTACTGTTAGGAGAATAATCATTCACTATGGGTAAAGGTGTGTTATGCACATGTAGAAGCAAATACATTCTACTAGACTAGGTTATAGCCTGAGTTACAGAAAAATACAGATTTTAATTAGAATAGCATCTGCTTCCTTTTCATAAGGGGTATTAGCTACATATAGAACAAGGACACAGGGCTTCATAGGTAAGAGTGAGAGCCAGATAAAATGTTCTTAATAATTAAAAACCTTTAAATTCTGAGAAACAATTTCAACTTTTATGGAGCTGAACCCCAACAAAACAAAATAATAACAGGATAAAAAACAGAATTTACCAGACATAACACAAAATACATGTTTCACTGATAAGATTATTTACATTCAATTGATTACATTAAAAAAGATATAATTTATATTGGGTTGTATTTAGTCATTTAAGGAATACTAATTTTTAAATGAATATTCTGGGGTTTTTTTTTTTCCATTTAGTCTAACATTCCCTGCTATCCATCTACATAGTCTACAGTTGACTCCCTATTTCCTTTTTCTAGCATTGCATGGTTTCTTTCTAACTAAATTTAGTAAGGTAATACATAATAAAACAAAGACAAATCAAATGGTGTAACGACAGGCAGCTCAGGATTCAGCTTCCTCCAGCAAAACCAGAAAAAGGAAGATTATATACTATTTTTAGTATATTTCTCTCTATCTGGCACTGAATGTAAGCACACCTGGCGGTTCTAAAGCAATGAATTATGGGACCTTATGTGAAATTTGGACATTGCTTGCAAGATGGCTTGTGGCGCAACATGGGAGAAAGTGACAGCAATCTTCAAGTAAAAGTGATTTTGGAATTAGCAAGGAGGAGACTATCATAAAAAATTGTGTTTTCCTGGTGAATAATATAAACATTGCGAGACTTAGAGCAGAATACAGAAAATAAAGGTAAATAGGCATATAAGACTGTGCACAAAACGGTGCTGATTTCTTCAATATTCATATGTGGCTTCATTGATATATGGAATTTTCCTAGACAGCGTAAGATATGTGCAATTATCAAATGCAACTTATTGAATAACTGTGAAATTTTTCAGCTGTTACGGATATGAGAATATTCTGTTTCATTATGCATAAATGTAGATATAATTAGTAATGAATATGTGTTTTCTCAAGGAACCCTTCAACGAAGTGCTAGTGCTTCTAGAGGAGACGTATCTCACACAAGGTATGTATGAGCTCACACAATAGTTGCAGCTGATAAACTTTTTTTAAATTTACAGTGATGGGAATGGGCACATCGACTGCAGCAAAACACATTTTTTCCAGTAAAATAGAGAAGTTTTAAACCTCTGTCAGGTTATTAATATTGTCTGTGACATGCTGCCTGTCAGTAACTGCACCCTTAATTTCTTGCCCTGCTGTCACAGCCTGTCAGAGGGACAGGAAATGAGATCCCAATGGGATCACGAACAGAAAAGAAAAACTGGCAAGTATTTACTTTTTCCAAGTCAAAAACTAAAAAAATTGGCTTGGGCGTGAACTTGTCTAAAGGCTAAAAGGTGTCCTACACGGGAATATAAAATAATCAAATTATTAAAAAATATTTTACAAAAAAAGACAACATGCATATGTACTTTGCCAACATCACTGGCTAATGATCAGGTCACTAGCTCACATTTTCACTTTTGATGGTGAAAATCATGCAAACAATTTATAAAACAATCTTGTGCTATTCTCTTAGTGCATCCAATTGTATTGAAATATAGATATATTAGGCTATCTAGGAGCTCTATGCCGTGTACATTGGTCATTTTCCTGTCGCTTTTATGCATTTTTCTTTATGCTTAAACGTGGAACAGCCCAATAACTCCAATAATAATAACTTTCTATCCATTTTGCAATTAGGGTTGCACTGTTTCTATATATAAAAACGTACTGTATATCACATAAGTAAGAGAGTGCTTACTGATTAAATTGTGCTTATATATTTTTTTTTATTTTGCATGTGGACATTTTCTAAAAAACAAAAGAAGAAAGAAAGAACTAGGGATATCCCGATGCCACTTTTTCAGGCCCAAGTACAAGTACAAGTACATCCCCTCATGTACTTGCCGATACCAATTACCGATACTTTTTCTTAAAGGGACAGGTGACTTTAAATGATCCATAGTACAACTACATGTTATGTACTATGGATCATGGTTTAACCTATTCATGTTAGCAGTGGAGAATTGTAACTCTATTGCTGGAGTGTAGTGGAGGTGTGTCCTGTATATATGCACTACATATACATTACACACGTCCAGTACAATTGAAAAGAGCAGTGGCTAACATTCTAAGATAGCTAGCTAGATATTCTTTATTAGCCATTCTGCAAACATTTATTCAGACAGTGTGACTTAGAATATATGTATCATTACCCTATTACCATAGCCCCTTAGCGTACGTTATTGGCAGGGGGCCCCTTTAAACAGACTCTGTTTACATTTCTAAAGACGGCTATCAGCTTTACAATAGAAGTGATTCTGGTGGCTCAGCTGCCGCCAGATCGCTTCTACCGGTCAGTAAAATGCCCGCCCCCCCTGCCTGACACTCCTGCCGTGTTTCCCTTGCTCCGCTGCCCCTCCTGTGGGCCCGAGACTGGCATGTCAGGTGCCGGTGGGAAGCTTGGGAGGAGATCTGTGAACTTCCATTCACCGAACTCCTCCCCGCTCTATGGGACCGGGAGCGATGCACATTACATCACTTCAGGTCCCTGAGCTGTCAGTGCTCGGCACCTGAAGCCGAGCAATAAACTATTGAAGTGCGATCTGCACTTCAATAGCTTATTTAAAGTGGAAAGCTGACACTAGGGGTCTTTTGGAGCTGTCACTACCAATATGCTATCACATAGGGGTCTCGTAATCCCCCATGTGATAGCAATTACATAAAAAAAAACACTTAAAAAAATATTACATTAAATAAATGTAAAAATAATGTAAAAATGTTTTAAAAGTTCCCGCCCCCATGTATTCACGTAAACGCATTGGGTGCGCCTATGGACTTTTCGAGGTACTGAATGTTGTCGCTGTTTCATAGATGCACCCAATTTTTTATCCTGGGCATGTTGGGTATATATTTACTCGTTGTAGCCTCATCTTTTATATTTTACAAAAAATGGGTATATATTGTGTTTTGGGGCACTAAATCTAAGTGCATTTTTCACTAAAGTTTTGAGTTTAATAAAGAGTTGCTCAAATATCGTACAACATAAACATTTTAAACTGGCACCATTTTATTCTATATGGTCTTGACTTTCTGAAAATATATAGGGGTCTATTCACCAAGCTGCCGAGGGCAGCCGAGTGAATGACCGATCTGAAGTGAAGTGAGCCGAACACTGTTCGGCTATTCACTTCAGGCTGGTACGGCTGATTTCAGCCGCACATCGGCTGAAATCAGCCGTACATCGGCTTGCTTCGAGTGGCTTCGGGTCGGCCGAACATGC